TGTCCTGCTGGAGTGTGACAAGATTTGTTTGTGTACAAACTAATACACTATCAGAGTTTGATATATTTATACTTCTCATTCAACCACAGTTAAATTCACTCTATCTAGGAGGCTCAGTTTATATGGATAGTATTTTTTTATAATAACAAGCTGAATGAAAACAAGCAAAAATGAAATAAAAGTAACGACTTTCTACTTCTAAAAATGTAAGGAGTAGAAGTAAAWCGTTGGCTGAAAAATCATTACTCAAGTAAAGTACAGATACCCAAAAATTCTACTTAAGTACAGTAACAAAGTATTTGTACTCAGTTACTTTACACCTCTGGAGGCGGAGAGGAGAAAGTGTCCATTTGGTTCATTTTGACTTTATGATCAGAAATATAAATTTCACAGAGAAAAATATGCTTCCCTAAAATGTTTCTACTGCTGTGTGTAACTGAAAATTAGTAAAGCTATTGAGGAAAATTTCATGTAATAATAAACCTAGTCAACTCGAAATAAAAAAAAAAACTTCCTGCTGCCTCGAGCATTTTGCATTGATGTAATCATGTTTACAGTTTGTTTACACTGACTCCTCCATTGTTCTACTTCCTTGATGACGTTACAACTGTTTGACCTGAATACATATAAATGCATCAAATACATAATAAAGAATCACCTAATGKGTTCAGCATGGAGATATCCAGAGACATGTCAGGATAGCTCTTCATTGACATGAAATCCAGGACTGAGCTGCTCTCTCCGAGGCCAGCACCGTCTGACAGCTAAAGAAAAACACCCAGAGTACGAAAAGGTCACGTCAGAGGAAACCAAAGCAACTCTTACTTTCTTACATTCGTTAAAAATGACAGCCGACCTGCATGTCACAGTTGTTCGACTTGGTTTCGTCAGGCTTCAACATCATGTTTCTTTTCTGAAATGTAAAATAAGAACATCATCGTGATGTTGTAAGAGCAATATCTGAAGCTCGAGCCGAACACCGCACCTGTCGAATCTGACTGACAGCCTTTGAGTGATCGCCTCCTGTCATCTTGTCCAGAAGTTGATCGACCCAACGCTTGGTGACGCCTCCACAGCCCTTTACAAAGTCCTGCAAACTGTGCAATTTAAAAAAAGAAGAAAGGAATAATTTTAGATCTGAACTTTATTATCTTTTTATAATTTTCTTCAAAAGCTCTAAACGTTACCTCAGAGCACACTGTACCCCCGTCTCATCACCATACGCTGAGTACAGCTTATCTATCTCGTCTGACTGCAAGTCTGGAAAGACGGAGTTCTTCTGAAGGCTCTGGGTGTTGTAGGCACTGCTCAGAAAAGTCACTAAACACAAGAAGAAACAGGAAAGCTTGGTCAGACTATGAAAACCTACATGCATTGCATTGCACTGCATAAAAATAAAAAAAAACCCAATCTGCTCCTACCTTTGTGTCTTCTATCATCTTTAAAACCTAATGTTGTCAATCCAGGCAGAAGCTTATTAGACAGAGACGTCAGATCCACTTTATGAGTCTCCTCATCTGCATTAAAAAACACATTTAACTTTTACAAGGAAAAAAAGGGTTTTAAAAATATTTCATAAGTGGATCACAACAAACCTTCCGCATCAGGATCGAGCTGATTCACAACAGTGTACACAAGAGACCCATCTGAATCTTTACGCAAGTAACCCATCTGTAACCACACAGAGCAGACAAAACAGGCACAGATTTCACTTAAGAGAATACACACGGCTGGACTAACATGTATTAATTAGCATGTATCAACTAACACGTATAAACTAACATGCATTAACTATCATGTAACTATCATGATGTAACTAAAATGTATTCACTAACATGTATTAACTATCATTTTGTAACTAACATGTATTTATTAACATGTATTAACTATCATGTTGTAACTAACATGTATTTATTAACATGTATTAACTATCATGTTGTAACTAACATGTATTTATTAACATGTATTACTAACATATTGTAACTAACGTATTATCTAACATGTATCAATTAACATGTATTAACATATATTAACAGGTATTAACATGTATTAACATATATTAACAG